GGCTTTTCCCCATAGTTCTCCTTAGGGTAAGGGGAGGACACAAACTAGCGTCCTCCCGTCACCCTAAGCTCAGTATACCGCGAGCTGCAGCTCGTGGTATACTGAGGCGCCACAGTATACCGCGAGCAACTGCTTGCGGTATACTGAGACGCCGCAGCTGAATCGGATCCCGAAAATTATGCCGGGATCCGCCCAGCTGCGTGACTGACAGCTGGCTCTGCCTATCTAGAGGCAGAGCCAGCTGTACCCGCCCCCTCCCACGTCCGTTCTGCCTGTCAGCGCTGGCGGACCGGAGCGGGGAATCCAGCCCCTCCCCTGTCACGGCAGAGAGCTGTGACAGGATGGAGAGGTGAGCGAACGCCGGTATGTGTTCGCTCACCTCCCAATCTACTGAGCCGACCTGTGACACTCTCATTGTCACAGGTCGGCAAGAACTATGAGGTGAGTGAAAAGCACTCACCTCATAGTTCTCCTTTAAAATTAGGACTCTGTATTAATGAGCGGCCTCTCATGAGGATCTCCCTGAATCAGTGCAAAATATGTTGTAAACCACACTAATATAAATGTATAAATTAGCCAAAAAGTACTAGACTGATTAAACATGCTTTGCAGTACCTAACTGTACCCCTATTCACTATAAATTGAATGTACTTTAGGAGTTATGGAATCTTTAAAAATTCTTGTTACTCAGATGTATTTGTCAGTTAACACTGCTTAGTAATGCTAAGCTAAATACATGACTAAATATTCACCTACCCTTTACAACTGTACTTTATGTACATATCTAATCAAAAATAATTGCTGTAATTGCCCTAGTTATATTTCATTGATATATTATGAATTGCATAATAATATTTAGCATTTTCACACAAACACAGGAGAACATACAAATTCATGTTGTCTTACGCTGACTACCATTTTGTCAAGTTCTTTTCGTATACATCTCATTTTTTCTATCTATGCATACACACATTTGAAAATGCTTACTTCAGTCAGTATGGGCCACGATTTAAAAAATTAAAAAAATAAAAGTATGGACGCATGTGCAACATATGGCTTCTGAGAGATAAAACTGAAAGGCGTTTATCTATGGGTTTGAGGGTGTTGCCTATATAATCACAGTTATCTCCATGCACCATGTAAAGAGCCTAAAACCCTTAGTAATTAAAACACTATATAGAATTACTGTTCGAAAAATAAAATAAACTTAGTATACCAAATGTTAGCATTGTAATGCACAAACTCTACACATGTATAAAAGAAATATCCAAAAAATGCTGCAAACACCCTGCTACTATCCAATAATTAAGAAAAGTTGATGTAGTCCAGTGTAAAATAATTATAAATTAAAATGATATTTCTTTAGCTGCCACTATCCAGTATTGATTTTCATCTGATTGACTGCTCATGAATTGACGATATGAACGATATGGAGGTGTATTCTGTGGTCCACAGTGCCATTGGTGTTGACACTAGAAATCTTGCTAAAGAAAAGCCATAGTGTTATTCTATTACACATGCTCATAATTTACTGTTACAGATTTAGGTTGCTTTATACAATATGATTTTAAAGCAATATTTCATTCTGAATTGTGTTACATTACATAAAGATTTCATTTCATATTTTTCTTGATCAGAATTAAGCAAAGATTTGTGCAAAGAAATGTTAGCATGGAGTTTGTAACAATTTAAAATGTTAATATTCGAGCAGGAGTTAGCGCTCTTTCCGTTGGAATAAGCGACATTAGAACAAGTAGGAAGAGGTAAAGACTCAATAAGGAGAGAGACATATTCTAAACAAAGCTACATTGTTTAGAATGTCTGGTCTTACCCTGCAACCATTTGCTCATCTGTTAGAGGACATGGCTCTCTGGAATAGGAACAGGAGCCACAAACAAAGAATAAACATAAAAAACAAAATAACACACCAAACATACCACAAAACGTTCTTGAAAAAACCTGATAAGATATGTAAAGTGGGAGATTCATTATACCTGCACTTTCTTATACCATCCAAGGCCCAGTCAGGTCAGACCATGATCTCATAACATCTGAGAAGGGCCACTTAACTCAAACAACAATCTGGTTTATGTGAAGGAGTTCCATTTTAAGAACATTTCCAGCACTTCTCCGCAGTTAATACTGTTAAAAGTGAGATTGTATAGTGCAGGAAGGTGATGTTTTCTCACAGACAACTGATCTTGACTAGGATATTTAGAAAACCCGTAATGGTCTATAGACTGCTATTCCTGACCTCTCCTGAGTCTGGCTGACAATAAAATCAGTTGCTTCATCACCTTCTAAATTACTTTCATGGAACATGTGCACATCAGGAGTTTTGACTTCATCCCGGATCTGCAATGTGTCAGGGAAGCCAGTTTATTTGAGCGCACCACAATGGACCAAAAAAAGCGCATGCAGCATATTCGGCAACGAACCTCAACCCATGATATTGTGCTCCAATGCAGGTGTGCTGGGAAGGTGTGTAACAATTTCATTCGGATTCAGTAGCACCAAGCACAGTAATGCACAGTGCACTCGTGTGAATGGGCCCTAAAACCTCCAAGATCTGAATGCTTGTTCTCAGTCAGTGGCTCAGAGAGAACTGAAGACCAAGACAGCTAGGCAACCGGCATTTCCATATGGGAATCTTCAAGCAGCTATATAAAAAGAATACTGCCATTTTTCCTATTTTTGCCAAGTATTATTCCCTCTTGCAGAAGTTTATTTTTCTTCAGAAAGTGGTGCAAAACATACCAGAAAGCAGTCAGTATTGGAAACTGGTTTCCAAGATTGAAACAAAGAAGGTTTGCAATTACAGAGATCCTTTATTTATAGCAGAAAACAAAAAAACCCCCACAAAAAACACTCAGCGGGTAGAATTTAAAACTTGTATAAACACAAACTATGTTAAAAACAGACATCATAATCTTGTAGCAACCCCATCAGAGTCTATGAGGTTTTTAAAATAACGTGCGTTATTTAGAAAGATTTACATTGTATTCTTTTTACAGTCTAAAAACGTTTTCTACTAAAAAAAAGGAATCTCTCGGAATACAAACTCACTTTGTTCTAATCTTGGAAACAATGTTAAAAGGTGTACTCCAGAGAGAAGCTGCCTGGATGGGAAGGGGGTTTAACACCGCGGATGTCAACTGTTTAATATTTGCACAGTACAAATAAATTGCCTACGCTGAAGTGTGCCCCATCTGTGGCTGCTGCAGCATTCAATTAAATTTCAGACTTTCATTCAGCCCACACTGTCCTGTCACTGCCGAACACTTGGTGCTGCAGTACGCCGATCACAGCGAGTCACTCCCTGTACCCCAGACAATAAATACTATCCTTGTTGCACTCCTTACAGAAAAGTCCCTTGTAGTTGGTGGTGCTCGCAGTGACTGCGGATAGCGCCGCAAATTTCAGCACAATAGTAGAAATGTCACCAGCACACCAGTCCTTTTAGGATAGCAAAAGCTTCATTTATTGAAGTTCTTTGTCATATGAACTATGACTACTAGGTTCATATGACAAACAACTTCAATAAATGACGTTTTTGCTATCCTAAAAAGGACTGGTGTGCTGGTGACATTTCTACTACTCCCTGTACCCCATCCCTCAATTCAGAAAAAGGCTCACATTTTGTTTAAATGAATGTAAGGTTCTGTGATTAGAGAAAGGGAGAACGTGGCGTTCATCTGCACTTCCTCTAATCACAGAATGCAAGGCCTTTTCTGAATGGAGGATAGGGTACAGCAAGTGGCTCACTATATCGAGTGTACTGCACTCAGAATTTGATATCTTGGAATTTGACATTCCGGCATCAACAGGAGCATGCAGGCTGAATGAAACAAAGAGTTAACCCCTTCGTGACGGGAGACGTACACTGTACGTCCCGTCACAAAGTGCCTATATGACTGGGCACATACACTGTACGAGACGAGTTATTTAAGGCTCTGTAGTGCCAATAACCGCTGATTCTCAGCGGTTACCAGTCATTAATGAATGTCTCAGTATTGAGGCATTCATTAATGAAATAGTTAATCTTTTGTAAAAGCTTCTTTATTTCATTAATGAAAAAATGAAGCTGTTACATACAAATACGGGATCGCTAAATTGCAATCCCATATTTGACAGCTGAAAATAGCAGAGAGGTAGCAGCTGACCTCTCTGCAATGCGTTTTGACAGCTCGATGTTTATAATACATTTCAGGCAAAGAGATACAATAGTACTAATATGTTGCGCTAGGTACAGTACTAAAATAATATAGTGACTGCTTGATTTAAACGGACAAAAAAAAAAAGTTTGTTTTTTTCTACAAAGTGTAAAAAATAAAAAAATAAAGTATAAAACAAAATTAGGAAAATAAAAATTATTTATAAATATATTTTTTTATACTATAATTATTATTAAAAAAATAATAAATCAAAACTTGTGAAAAAAGTGTTTTCTTCTAGTTTTTTTCCTCATTTTTTTTATATTTTATTCAAACTAAGTGAGGCGTTAGATACACATGTTTGAAATAATTATATAGCCCTATCTGTCCTCTAAAAAACTATATATAATATGTGTGGGTACATTTAGTAAGAAAGTACATTACTGCTGTAGAAGTATCACACAGCAAAAATTGTAAAAAAGTGTGTCAGTCATTTACGAACAGAAACTGAAAACTAGCTCAGACATGAAGGGGTTAATGAACATTGCAGAGACCAGGTAAACATCAACGGTAGTTTTTTTTTTGCTGTGTTTATTTTTGTCTGGAGTTCAGATTTAAAGATCGTCAAGCAGCCTCTGTATTTTCTCATTACAGGTTACTTTAAAAGACCTGTAAATGAATACACAGAACAATATTTTACACAACACAAGTGTAGCTGCGATGAACACCTATTTTAACTTCAGGTCCAAATCCAAATGACCAGCGCTATTACCAGATTCAGTTAACAGATGAAAGCACTGGTCATTGCTATGTTAGGGATCAGTATATCCGAGATCCTCTTAAAAGAGAACTATGGGCCAAACTTTTTTTGCCATAGTTCTCTTTAGGGTCACAGGAGGACATATACAAATGTCCTCCTGTGACCCAAAACTCAGTATTTAGCAGGCTATTGCCCGCTATATGCTGACAGCTCAGAGCCACGCTGCAGCCGGGATGGATCCCTACATTGTTGTTGGGATCCACCCCACTGCCTGATTGACAGCTGTCTCTGCCTCACTAGAGCAAGGGGCAGCTGTGCCTGCCCCCTTCCATCCCTCCAGTCAGTGCTGGAGGAACAGAAAGGGGAGGGGGAAATACTTGCGAGGGGGGAGGGGGCGGTGACTCACAATCACCGCTTTCGGCAGGGAAAAGATCAGGAGCTGAGTGATCGATAGTTCACTCTGATCATGACAGCTTTAGTGTCACAAGTTGGCTCTATGGAGATGAGTGTATTTCACTCTCCCCATAGTTCTCCTTTAAAACTTTTAAACATATCTTATTGTCCAAGATGCTTATAAGGATATTAGTAAATTGCGTTTCTTTTGTTTAAATAAATGGTTACTGAGAAAAGCTGTCCATAAAAGATTGTACTGCAATATTAAGTGATATGGAAATGCCATACTTTGAATCTCCATCTGGGTCTTCTGTATTTGCTCCAGTGTTATTTAAAGCATAACTGCTCCTTGGAATAACTGAGGAAAAAAATAAAATAAAAAGTGCATTAAAAAATTATATATATGCATATATATTTATACACACACAATATATATCTCAGATGAATTTGAAGTGGTGAGGAAACACATCTGGGGCTTATTTTAAAAGAAGTTGCAAAGTATTGCAGCTTTTGACTTTGGTGCTTTTTCCCAGTCATTTTTGTGCTTGTATATAAAATGTCATAAAATTATTTTTTTTGTGCACGGATACTGATTTTGGTGTGTTTTAACAATTGAATTGTGTATTTTTATCGGTTTAATATTAATTTGAGAAACATTTGCGCAATTATCGCAGGGCCTACAAATTTAGTATCACCATCTTTTTATTCTACCGGGCCTGCGCTTTCAGAAAATATATGGTTTGGGGGGTCTTTTACAAACGCTAGCAACGCAGCAGTTGAAAATCAAATCAATGGGAAAAAATTGCAGAAAATTCAAAAATGGCTTGGCCAGCTGATTTGAAAAATGTTCCGGAGGGCTTGGCAGCGAAAGGGTTAAAGGCAGTAGTAGTAAGAGAATTTGTAGCATCCCATTGCTGAAGACTTCTTCTAAACATGCTGGTTATTTGACTGCCACGCACTGATCCAAATCACTTCAACACTTTTTAGTGCCCTGACCTGAACCATGATTGCAAATCAATCCAGAATTTACTGTGACTTTCTGTTTCAGGTACTCAACTATGGCAACAAAGAGGCCACTATTATTCTGGAAAAGAGGACAAGAATGGTAAGCCCAATATGTCTCTTAGTACCTGTTTCCCTTAACATAGTCTAAAGCACGGGTGCCCATTATGAAGATCGTGATCTACCAGTAACTCTCAAAGCTGATGCTGGTAGATCACGAAGGATGTGAATGGAGGCCCCTTTATTCCATTTTGGTATATTTATTTAGCTGTGCACACATGATTACCTATTAGCCTGAATCTGCTGAGCCAAGCTCCCTGACACCTTTCTGGTGGATACTGGTGGTTGAAGTGCTATGTATTACATCAAAGACTATTAGTATACACAGCCTGTTACACTGCACTGTTTGCAAAATACATCAAGGTGAGCCAGGAGAGAGAGCGGGGAGAGACAGCCAGGAGAGAGAGGAGAGACAGCCAGGAGAGGGAGGAGAGACAGCCAGGAGAGGTAGGAGAGACAGCAAGGAGAGACAGCCAGGAGGGACAGCAAGGAGAGACAGCCAGGAGACAGAGCAAGGAGAGACAGCCGGGAGACAGAGCAAGGAGAGACAGCCGGGAGACAGAGCAAGGAGAGACAGCCGGGAGACAGAGCAAGGAGAGACAGCCGGGAGACAGAGCAAGGAGAGACAGCCAGGAGACAGAGCAAGGAGAGACAGCCAGGAGACAGAGCAAGGAGAGACAGCCGGGAGACAGAGCAAGGAGAGACAGCCGGGAGACAGAGCAAGGAGAGACAGCCGGGAGACAGAGCAAGGAGAGACAGCCGGGAGACAGAGCAAGGAGAGACAGCCGGGAGACAGAGCAAGGAGAGACAGCCGGGAGACAGAGCAAGGAGAGACAGCCGGGAGACAGAGCAAGGAGAGACAGCCGGGAGACAGAGCAAGGAGAGACAGCCGGGAGACAGAGCAAGGAGAGACAGCGGGAAGACAGAGCAAGGAGAGACAGCCGGGAGACAGAGCAAGGAGAGACAGCCAGGAGACAGAGCAAGGAGAGACAGCCAGGAGAGAGAGAACAAGGGAGATATTTTTTTCGTTGGTAGATCTCATGTAGCTCGTCATTTGAAAAGTAGATCTGGTCTAAAGTGTAATGTTAGAACCTCTACCATTTTTAATGCTACCTTATTGAGGAGACTTTTCCCCACTTTCTGTATCAATGTTGTCACCAGGACATGAAGTCTCCAACAGAGACACCGAAAGCAATAAAAGCACTTCTTTTCTGGAAAAAAAAAAATCCAAAACACTATGGAGCCACCGATCGTCTATATGTGAAACACCTGGTAACGGGTGTTTGCATTGGTCGGGTCTTTTCTGCCCGTGCGTGCCCGCTAGGGGGCGCACGAGCAGAAAAAAAATGCCGACTGGCGACGGCAACCCGCCAATGCAGCAGTGCCGTCCGTCCGTTTTTGTTTACAACGGGCGAACGGCAAGTGGTTAAAGTATGGCATCTCTTCCCCTCAAGTATGCTATCAGAGAAACTGTAAAATCCAGACTCCCACGTATGGGGAAAAAAGGCATACCCTTTATCCCATCCCACAATTCACTGCTTGGTGCCTGATCATCAGGCCTATACATTTTTTTTTTGTAGATAGCACAAGTATACTTTAAATAGAAGTACGAACGTGGAAGATTTTGTATATGCATAAACAAGAAGGACTAGCGCAGTACAGTGAAGTAGCGGTATAGTGCTTCTGCCTTGCACGGGGGGAGGTCCCTGGTTCGAATCCCACCCTGTTCACTATCTGCATCAGAGGCTGCAGCAGTGACATGCGCTGGCTATTTTTTTTTTTTAAACATGCAGAAATCTATTACAAAAGTGGAGATATTGCCAGTAACAACCAATTAACTTCCCGTTAATTTTATTCTGAAATTATTTATGACTGCCAGTAATGGCAAATGCTCCACTTTTGTTCTAACTACTGTGGTTTTTTTTTAAATCAAATACCCCCTCCCCCTGAAGTAGTGTGGAGTGGAGTGGATAAATCCCAGTGGGTGTGGTAGCCAACACAGATAAAGACAGCACCTAACTTTTTTTTTTTTATCTACTGTTATCATTGGAAACACATGCTACAGATGGAACCGACAGGCTCCTGAGCTGCATAAATTTGTATAGCCGTTTTTTTTTGTCAAAGTGGCAACATGAAAAGCATGATAGAATTTCCATACAAAAGGCCAAAGCAACCTATGAGGCTGCTATAGGACCCAGGAGTAGGAGAAACAGGGCAAATTATCCTTATTTACTTTTTCCTCAGTTCAGTCCCTTTCCACTATGAAACAAAGCAACCCAACCCAATACTTTTGGCCTGATTTCCTGTCCCAACAGAACTCCAACCGGCAGCAGAACAGAATAAAGTTGTCTATATACTGCTGAAATGTCAGCAATCCTGCTCAACTGAACCTTGTCAAAAGTTGTTAAAAAACTCTTGTCCAAACAGTGACTGTAGCCAATGTTCGGGTATTCTGACAGTGGTACACCTGCCGCTGTCTGAATACAATGGCCTGGCGGGCGGATTTTCCTCCATCCACGGTAAACAGCATTGATGGGGGAAACAAAAGTTTTTTTTCTCATTCAGCCTGTGAAGCGTAGCTGAACTGAAACAAATGTAAAAGAACCTTTACTTTTTTTGACCACTAACCCAAAGGAGGCATTTTCACTGAGCATAACCGAGGTAAAAAAGGAATTTCCATTTAGTGCAAATGCAAAAGGGGCATTCCCATTGACCACTATACATGTGTTACTTCCATTGACCTCAACAGAAAAGGGTCATTTTACAGACCACCGATGTAAGGAAGGACATTTTTGGTAAAGATGTAAAACCCGAGTGTGTGTACCAATTTGGCAGGTAAATTTGTAGTTGCGTCCCAGTCAGTCACAGCTCCACGCAGGTATACTCTCTCCTTTCCTTTCTCACAGACAGGGGATGGGTGGGCACAACTGGTTTTGGCTCTAGAAAGACAGAGCCAGCTGTCAATCGGGCAGCCGAGTGGATCCTGACAATATTGTTGAGATGCTTCTTTGCTGCAGCACGGTTCTGCATAGCGGACAATAGCCTGCTATATGCTTTCTTTGGGTCACAGGAGTACATTAGACGATCTACTCCCAACCCCTTAAAAGAGAAGTAAACCTTGGTTTTTGATTTTACTCTTTACGGGGTTGGGAAAATAATTTAACACTGCTGGGGGTGCTTACAATAGTCAGCTTTTCAGCATATAATTTAAACCTCTTTTCTAAAAGGAAATAAAATCTATTGATGTTACTGCTTTAAACTTTTAGCTGGGATTTAGTTTGTTCATCACTGCTTTAAAGTCAATCTAAAACTACCCTGTCAGCAAGATGACAAAGGTGTTTTGCCCGGCTTCCTGATACCAGAAGTTCCGGTATCAGGAGCATTTGGGGGGAGTAGTAGTACTCGCCCACATGCTCGGTATCGGCATATCCCTAATTATATGACATCATGAAGAAGAAAAGAAATACTGATCAAAGCACTTTCATAGAACACTTACTTGTCTGCGTGGATTGACCTTCTATACTTCTTTGGAAAGGATATCGAAATAGCAGCTTATTCCCTCTACTTCCTGAACTCACCAGAATAACACTTATAGGGCTGGTGTTTTCACCCATCTTTGGAAATTGCAAGAGTAACCTGCAAGAGAGTCAAAAACTAAATATACAAGAGTGAAGACTAAAAAAAAGCATGCATTATACAGTTGTGCTCAAATGTTTGCATACCCTGGCAGAAAACGTGACATTTTGGCATTGCTATATCTCTCCAAACTGCCACACAAAACTGAGGTCCACAAAAATCCAACTTCATTGTTGTAAACTCCATGCAAAGTTCAAAATACAAGGTAAACACCACCATAGTATCTCTCCCACTCCAACGCGTTTCACTACCTTAATGCTTAATCAGAGAGGTGAAGTTCCTTATTCTTCCAAGTGCTTATAACTGCTGAGTACCGCCCCCATCTCACATGTGACGCCTAAGTAGCTAGCCTCTGGATGTAACCAACTTAGCTGGAAATACATTCCTGATACTATATAGGTGAAAACTAGAAGACAGCATCACGCCCCTTCAATAGAAAGGATCACCGCCCATCTCACAGGTAATGGCTAAGTAGTTAACCCCTCAAAGTAACTAGCTTATTGGGAAATAAATGTAATAAAAACTACAAACTACTGCTGTATGCTCTATTTATTGGACCAGAACGCAGGCAAAGTTTTCCCACGCGTCCGATCGCGCTGCGGGTGTGGGGGGGGACGTGGCTGCGGTGCCATTGACTTCAATGCACCACCACGCCCCCTCCTGCCCCAGAACGAAGGGGCGAAGCTACAGCCATGGAACGCACTGCAATTGGTGTGAACAAACGCTGATACAACAGAAAACTATGAATAATAAATAATAGAAGATAAGGAATTGGACAAACAATTATGAGTGAAAGCATTTTAGATTTACAAGCTGCATGAATATAAACGCTAAATATTAGATTGAATGTTAAATATTAAGTACTTGGGGGTGGAGCTGTAGATTATATGATATTTGTCAAGAAATTAACCACATCCCGTGCAAAATAATTAGAGGATTAATATATAGACTTTATGTAGACTGTAAACCCTACACATGTGTATACATAAGATGATATTATACTATTTGGGCACTCGACCCACCAATAGGAACAATATAATCAATTTATTCATAGAAATGTGTTACGTCCCATTCAAAATGGAGCCCTTTGACAAGAGGGTAGCTGTGTCGCCTCCCCTAAGGAGTGAAGCCACTCTCTCTATGATCTGGACTCTCAAGCTAGCAATGTTGCCCTGATTGTTGTTCGCAAAAATGTCTAGCTGCATTAGTTCATTTATTGGTTTGGATATTTGATAGTTGATCTCTCATTCTATCACATAACCTCCTCTTAGTTTTCCCTACATATTGTTTGTGGCATGTTACACGCGAAATAACATATACCAAACCCATAGTTTTGCAGTTCAATAATTGCTTAATTTCATATGAGATTCCATTTGCATGCGATACAATTCTCTGGGCATCTCCTAGGCCAGTGGTGGCGAACCTCGGCACTCCAGCTGTTTTGGAGCTACAAGTCCCATGAGGCATTGCAAGGCTCTGACAGCCACAGGCAGGACTCCCAGAGGCAGATGCATGTTGGGATTTGTAGTTTTGGCACCGCTGGAGTGCCAAGGTTCGCCACCACTGTCCTAGGCCATGGCAGCTTGAGCAACAAGGTGAGTTACACCTAAACATACCTACTGACCTTAGCCAGTCTGGCATTGCTAGTGAAGATATGACTGATCATGCCAAAAAAACGGTATTTTCTTTAAGGATGGTGATCATATGAAGCCATTTATTATCACAGTTGTCTGGCTCCTTTTTAACCACTTGCTGCCTGGAGCAATTTCTTACATTTGCACACACATGCTGAAATCTGAATTATTGGCTAGAAAACAGCTTCAGACCCCCAAACAATGATATATGTTCTGAAAGCAGAGGCCCTGTAGAATAAAAAGATGCTAGTTGCCATTTTTTATGTCGCACCATATTTGCACAAATGTTTATCAAACAACTATTTTTAGGATAAAATACACAAATGAAATTTAGTGCACAGAAACAGAATATAATACCCAATTTCTTGGTAAAACATAAAACTCGGGGTCACGCCAGGTAAATAGACACCAAACATGTCAAGCCTTAAAATTACGTGCGTCCGTGAAACCGCAAATAACTACAATAGCCAAAATTTCCCACAGGCGACGCTTTAAATGCTTTTATGGCTCATCAGTGTAGTGTTAACAGTGATTGATGGTCCAAGAATTATTGCTCTCACTCTGATGCTCACAATGGTATGTAACGTGTGCTGCAATTTTTGCTTTTGCACGTAGGCGCATCCGACGCGTGTTTGTGTTGTATGTGCGTGCACGTGGGGGGCGAGGACTTAACAGTTTTTTTTTTACATTTTTCTTCACCAGCTTCTTCTTGTGGCTCTGGGAGCCAGAGAATGTGCACAGTGACACCAGAAGTGATGTAATGCACGTCACTTCCAGGTCCAGTGATTGGAGGAGAGGTCAGCAGCTGGAAGCCTGCTGATCTCCCTCCGATCCATCATCAGGAGAGACCCACTACGCCAGTCCCGGGCTCACATGGGGGACAGCAGTGCCTGCAAAGTTGACGGCATCGGCGGGCAGCTACACATCGCCACACCGCACAAGCGATCCGGCACCTGTACAGACACCGGATTGCTTGCAATTATGTCACCAGCCTTGCAGGCCAGCGTCCTGCAAGCATCCACTGTCAGCCAGCTATTACCAAGCGTAGGTTGGCGAATGGTCTGTGTGCAGACCACAGGCCCGGGCAGGGACAGACAAAGGACCAGATACAGTCCGCAAGCCATAAAATGCCCAGGGTTGCTCCAGACTGATTTGATTTACTGGTAATTTTAGAGAAAATTACAGATTATGCACAAGTCTAAGGTGGCCACACACTGTTCAAATGTCGGTTGAGTCATACTTACCTGGCCAAAAGTTTAATCGGGTTTTTATTTAACAAGCCAGTCCAAAGCTTCTCTTTTAAACAGTGACTGCAGCTGATCAGCTACAGTCACTGTTAGAGTATTCTGACATCAGAACGCCTGTCTGGCGAGTTGGATTCCCCCATCTACGCGGTGTATCAGTGCTGCTTGGATCTTAGAAGGAGGATGTAGATATCCTGAACTGTCTTCATGGACAGTAGCCTTGTGATGTTGCAAGTGCACTATTAGGGCTACAACCTCCTTAAAGAAGTACTCTTCCAAATATTTAGATCCAGCAGTGTCACACGCCAGCTCCATAGATTGAGAGCTGAGGGATCACGAATATTGTAAGCAGTAGCCCACTAGATGCTGACTTTGGGTCACAGGAATACATTAGTAAATACTCCTGCGACCCAAACCCCACAAAAAAAGAGGTTTGGCTGTAGTTCTCTTTTAAAGAGAAACTGAAGCCAAATTTTTTTTCAGGTTTTGAATATCGTATGGGAGGGGGATTTCACTTCATTTCCTGTCTGACAGCCACAACAGGAAGAAAATTAAATCCCTGGGGTTCAGCAGAGTCACCAGAACTAGTGTCCCCACTGGAAGATTTCCCATCTATTTCCGTTCTGGTGACAGCCCAAAATTTGGGGTTTACTTTCAATGATAATCATCAGGATGAATAGAGAAGGTGAATCTCCCTAATGGGGACACCTGACAGGGGTTCTAATCGCTCTCAGCTCCATCCAAAAATAAATAAATAGATTTAGGCTTCAGTTGCAGTTTAATCTCCATATAACCTCCACTGCTTTATGACCTACTAACCCCAACCATTGAGGGCCACTTTATGCATGTTTTCATGCATTGAGCACTTGTTTCCATTGATCATTAAGTAATGGGCACTTTGCTGGAAACCACATCAAAAGTGGCACAAGGAGGATCTTTATTCAACACATCACAAACACACAGAATTGCCCGTTGCTTACACTTCTGGGTATAATGCATACTCACATGAGATATGTCACCTGCTACAAATAAAACTCCAATTCACTCCCCCCATCCCAAATACATCACCTTTCCCGGGCGCCACAGTGTTTTATTATTATTGTATTGTCCGTATGGCACTCGTAATATGAGTTAGGAATCATTGATGTAATGATTGATGTAAACACCACAACGCACACATTGCGTGAGATCTTTCATTACAGAAACATTTCTACGAGCCTCGTACCTTCTATTATGTGGCCATTGCAGTGCAGTGTATGAACATTTTATATGGCCGAACGAGCAGTGCAATGCAATACAATACTGAAAACAACGTCCAACTTCCTCCTGGTTCTAAAATCCTGTATACAAGGGAAGACCACCCGTCCTGCGTGCGCGCCCCCGTCAACTCAGTACACACTGCGCATGTGCACTTTACTTTCAGCGCGGTCCTGAACTCCAGACAGGCTGGTCACATGACACAGACCAGGTGACCTTACACATGAGCCCAGGAAATCTGTAGTAATTGCAACTCCTGTGCTTTGTGCAATATAGGCATTCATTATTTCTGCACAAGAATACGTTCAGCATATTATTGAGAAAAGAAAATCGTTGCTTTTCCTTTACTTACTGCAGCACAGATGAAGCTGGTTAACAAAATATATGTAAAACGTGTTTACACCATTCATTGTCACTCCATTTTGCTGATTTTGTGTGCTTACATGATGAAAGATTGTTTAAAAAAAGTAAAATTTGCTTGGGGAATTTTTCAAAAGGCAATTTTCTACATAGTGATGAGCCAAAAGTGCCTGGGTTTGATTTGCTCCGCTAACCAAATCAGTATTCTGGGTTTGGCAAATGTCCAAGCAAACCGAAACTCAGGGCCTTTGGTGTCCTATCAGCCAATGATGCAGGTGGCCACACAAACGGTTTATTGGTGCACCCGCCTGTGTCCTAGCAAACAATGATGCTTTGCTTATCTCACAGTGTTATTGGTTGCTAGGACACAGAGGGCGGTTCAGCGGTCAAACAAATTGTTCACCCATTTATTGAATGGTGAACAGCCTGGGTTTGGGTCTAATGTATGGTCAACCTGAACCCAAAGCTCATCCCTACTCTACACATTGAAATTATTTTAAAGTAAGTGTATTTCAACTTTTGCAAATAGAGCGTGGTGAATTAAAGGTCTGGTGGAGCCAGGGCCCTGGGGAGAAACTGCTTTGCTTTTACTAACGTCAAACTCTAAATGTCCTGCAGTCTGTAAACAACCTGTTCTGGAACTGAACACAACAACATAATTGAGTGACTGTACCCACACTATATGTCTGAGGAAGTGACCTGGTGGCACAAAACTTATCCTTGGTGTTTTATTCAATACATATATTTATTTGTTTTGGTTTTTGTTTTTGGTTCTTTTTTAACCAAAGAAATGTAGCAGCACACATCTGGCCTAAATTTATGAAGAAAAGTATCTGATACTGCATGAGCCTGAGAGAGAAACACATGCTTTTGATGGGCCTCCAGCAATGAATAAAGTCTTTGATGAGACTGTCGTGATGCAGTTAGCTGCTGCTTTAGGAAAAATGATAGGTAGGACCAGAGTGCTGGACATTTTTTTGCTATGCTAATTTGTATTTTTATTGGGATATTACCATGTTGGGTGGCCTCACTGGCCAATAGGAAAGCGCAGGAGGCAGGAAGGGGCAGGCAAATTTGGGCACAATTAACCAGTAAGGATGCCCTTAGTAATGGCCCAATAGGAATTTCTGTGCATGTACACTGAGTGGCCAGTTTATTATGACCACCTGACGTTTGTAGGCAAATTAGCTATAATTCGCTTTAATTTTGCGCTGAAGTTGCTAGAGGGCCAGACCATTATAAATAGGGAAGCAGGTTGTTTACCACGACAGTAGAAGTGATTTTTTTACTGAAGATATGGGTAAACAACGGGATTTAACAGCCTTTGAACGTGGGATGATTGTTGGCGCTCAGAGCCATGGAGCGAGTATCAGCAAAACAGCAGAATTTGCTAAATGTTCAAGAGGGGCTCATTGTTAAAGTGTTTAAAGACTGGACTGTCAGCCGAAAATCTGGGTCTGAACGTGCGAATTGTGGCCGTCAGCGACTAGTCAATGTTAGGGCAGAACGGAGAGTGGCAAGACTGGTACAAGACAACAGAAGGGCAACAGTGCAGTGTCAGATTCCTCGCATCACCTTTCAACATCTCGCGGAGTCACGAGGCGGCCCAACTAAGTCATCTCGTGGAGTCATCCGGTGGCCCAACAAAGTACTGATGGGGTGGTCATAATAATCTGGCCACTCAGTGTATTAGGTAGGGGAGAGGGTGCTTAGAAGTGGGTGTGAGGTTTGAGATTTATGTTATTATATGTTCGCAGTGCATGCCTGGCTTAAAAATTTGCATGTTCACAACCAGGAATTAGAAACAACCTATAATGCAGTGCACATTCACAATTGTAAGGGGGCACTTTTTCATTGACTGCCAAAGTAAGGAAAAAAGGTGGATGGAAATGAAAGCGCACTGTGAATGCATTAAATATATATGTGCAAAATCAAACTCTGCTCATTATATTGGGACAACAGGATATATACACATTCATGCTCTCTTGAATACAAGACACCCCTAAGCCTTTTTATGTGGCTCCCTGGATTTCTTGGTATATTAGGGTTAGCACCCATTTGACATTGAACCAGTGCACACCTTCGGTGCCCTGTAGCCCCTGGCAACGCCCACCACAATTCCCTTCACAATTCCCAACAGTGCCTTCCACTGCCACATACAGTGGGAAGATGGAGAGGAGGAAGTTAATGTCCAGATGTGCAGGATAAGAGAGGTGAAGGGGTTAATATATGTCGCATACAGAGCCTGGATGGAGGTGAGATGTACAGGAGGAGGGGATGGTGAAAGGATTAATATCAGCAACTAAACAATCCTACAATCAAACGATGCCTGTCTGCCTGTGATCTGGAACTAATAAATGATTCATTCATTCATTCATTCATTCATTCCTCTCCTTCCTCCATTGTAAGACTAAGGGGAGGGTTCTTAGATGTAAACACTTCAATGTTTACATCGTTGATCACTGTGATACAGGTACAGATCAGCTGTGTACAATGACAGCTCGCATCACAGCCATAATGGGTACACTGGTGTTTCAAACACCAGAAAACACGCATAATGCTACTTTATGCAAGGCACTGTAAACCAGTAAATCATTTCGCAGAATTAAAGAGTAACTCCACTTTTGCTGAGAAAACATAATTCCCCTCTGTGTGATCGATGTACATTGCAAGGATTTTACCAAACTTTGTTGCAGTTTCCTACCTGTTTCTGTTTTGAAGTACCATATTTTTCGCTCCATAAGACGGTGCTGACCATAAGACGCACCTAGGTTTAGAGGAAAAAAAGGCTGCTGTTTTTTTTAAAGTTGTGCGGCTGTGCGTGGCTCCACCAGTTATGTCATTCATACAGTCTGCCATCTTTTTTTTTTTTTCAAATGCGTGTGTTCGCAGGGGCTGGGGACTTTAATTTTAAGGGGGATTTTAAATTTTAGTTTATTTAACTTTTCAATTTTTTAAAACTTTTTTTTCCATTTTTTTTGTATTTTTAATTTAACTTTATTTTTACTTCATTGCTGGGAGCAATAGCCAGCCTGCTATTGGATATTTCAAATTGCAATAGCCAATAACAGTCTGGCTACTGCACCCGCCCACTGCCTGCTGTCAATCAGCAGAGGAGGGACCTGCAGTTCTCCATCAGGTCCACCTCTGTTGAGTGGGGGGGGGGAGGGGGGGGGAGTGCGTCTTATGGAACGAAAAATACGGTAATAGCAGTTTGTTTTAGAACGTACTTTCCAGGCTGATTCCTGAATGGGAGGGCCCGGATTCATAATTAGCTGGTGGACTTTCTGTGTAATCAGGAAAGTTGCTGTGTCTGCACTCCTTTAGTAGTAATTAAGCCTTACAGAGTATCTTACCAAAAATGACTTTCCTTTTGCAGGGGTGCCTAAAATTTTACTTGTGCAGACTTCTGGGAAAATCAGTCAGCCAATCATTTCCGTAGGTAAAGGAAGTGGAGAGACCAACCTGAGGGCACTGGGAGTAGAAGAATCAAGGGATTCACAAGTAGTGATGGGCTGAAGACACCTGAGCTTGGTTCTAACAAGAACTTTAGAACAGGGAAAAAATTCTTACAAGAACTTAGAACTCAATGAAAGTCTATGGGACCAGAATTCGTAAAATCAAATGTCCCCATTCTGAAGGTTTATATGCAAGTTATTGGCCATAAAGAGGGTATGTGGATTCGGGTACTGCCCTGGGGGATATGTATCAATGGAAAAAACACTTTTAAAAAATACTGTTTTTAAAGAAGCAGTGATTTTAACATTTCTTAAAGGGACACAATAAAAATGAAAATATCTGTTAAATATCGTGCCTGGGGGGTCCCCTTAAACTGCCTGTAAAGTGGCAGAAACATGGCTGTGCCATGGGATCGCCAGTTTCACCTATTGTGGCGAACCTGTACATGGAGGAAGTACAAAGCAAGGCCCTGACCACCTTCAAGGGAATTATACCCAGTCATTGGTTCAGATATGTAGATGACACTTGTGTTAAGATTCACAAACAAGAGTTACAGGCTTTCACTGACCATATCAACTCAGTGGGTCATAACATCAAGTTTACGTGGAAGATATGCAAAACAACAAACTTTTTTTATTTTTTTAGTAACAGTAGAAGAGGGAAGGAGCCTGGAAATAGAGGTCTACCGAAAACCAACACACACGTACCAGTACCTGCTATTTGACTCCCACCACCCTTTAGACCACAAACTGGGAGTCATCAGGAATGTACACCACCAGGCAGAGAAAAGTCACACCAGAACAGGCCAAGATGAAGGAATTCAAACACCTCGGGGCTGCAGCTCGCGGTATACTGAGCTTAGGGTAACGGGAGGACGCTAGTTTGTGTCCTCCCGTTACCCTAAGGAGAACTATGGGGAAAAACACTGACCCCATAGTTCTCCTTTAACACCTCCTAGACTCCAATTATGCAAATGAAATCAACACCTGGTTGTAACAGATTATGTGGATTGGAGTGACAGTCACCATATTTATTCCTTGAGAATGTTTTGTACAAGTCATTCTGAATTGAGAAAGCTGGTCGGATGTCCAGTGAAACGTCTTCAAGAAAAATACAGAAAGTCCAGTTGCCTTGACTTATTTTTTACAGATATGCCTGTAAAGTGGCTCATCTATATAATGTATGGAACCTGGTGCAG